TAAGCTCTGGAGCAGGTTGCCTAGATAGGCTGTGAGAAATCTGTCTGTAGAGGTTTTCAAGACCTAACTAGACAAAATCCTGACCAGAGCTGAATTTAGAACCTGCTGTAGGCAAAGGGTCAAAGCAACTTCCCAAGATCCCTTTCAATCAAAATGGTTCATAATCACTGTAGGAAGTTAAATCATCAAGGGGAGAAACTTCTTTTCATCTTGTATTTGGTTGGAAATGTGAACCTGTTCCCACTGACCAGATCTTCACATTGAGAGGCAGAAACACAAATCTTTTGCTATCACCTATTAGCATTGGTCAGAAAATACTTATAGTTTTATATATGTACTGGCCAGGTTGTGACCTTACCCCAACTACATGCTCAGCTACCAATAGCATATTACCAGTCATAGTACTGTTTTGTGTGCAGCTGCTAGAGATGTAATCAGAGGACAAAGGCAAAGTAAACCGCCTGATTAGAGCTTTCTGCTGTCAATCATTATGTAAATTTTAAAATACCGTTTTTCTAAGCAGATGGCAGACCTGATCTTTATGCACTGTGCATTGTACAGACACTGCCTTTCTTTAGGAAGCTCAGCATCCAAGTAATCAGACCCAGCAGCTGTATGCATTAACTACCCAGAGCAAGATTAAGGTTTTGTCTGTCCACTGGTCTACTGCAGTTTGATTAAAAATATTACTGTGCAGAAACAAATTAAGTAGATTGTCCAACATCTCACAGGAACTCAAAGAGATTGAGGTGTAAATCCCAGAGCTAATGAAGCTCAATTCAGTGCCTTCCGACAGCAGATGGTTTAATCACTAGATCTGTCAATCTGAACCAGTGTTTCAAAAACTGCAGAACTGTTCTACCATGGATGGAAGGGCATAATGCTTTCTGCCATTCATACTGTTCTCTGACTGCATAGGGAGCTCTTGTACTCCACATTCAGATGGTATCTTCCTCAAACTTGTATGCTTTCACACTGTGAGAATTACATAGTGCTTTCACTAAGAAAATCAAATATACTAGATAATATAGTGGATGTAGATGGGTTTTTAACCAGCCAAGACTTCCTTTAAGGATGATGACTAAAGAAACTCACAAATAATTACTGAAGTACTTCTTTGCTATTAAAGAAGAAAATAAGTTGATGGAAAGAAATTATATAATTGTTCAGGTAATAACCAACAGTTAAGCATTTGAGAACATAATAAGCCTCATAAGAAACATAGTGACAGACAAACACAATTAGAATGTCTATCAAAAAATAAAAAGGATAGTTCCTCTCAGGAGTTAACAGTAAGTAGGAATAACAAAAACTATTTTTGTCTTACATAGAACATTTGCTTAACATCAACTCCAAGGCTTCTGCAGAAAACCCTGAGCACCCACAAAGATTTAGTCGTATCAGATTGGGATTGTTAGCAATGCTCCTGTAGAAAAGAAAAAAAGAGAAATCCAATAAAATGTTGGAACATTGCTTTTATCGCTAAGACACATGATAACGTTTAAAAGCGATGTTTCCAGGCACAGAATTATTTGTTGAATATGCAGCACTGCATCTTTAGTAAAATGACATACTATAACAGTCACTACAGAAGGTCAACAAAGAAATGAGAAATGGTGCAGAAGCGCACAGAGCACCTGGTAGAAAAGTTGCTGGAACTCCTTAAAATATAAAAGAATATATACACTATACGTGAACATGTATTTGGGAGCACAGAAATTGGAAAAGTAGCTCTGCTCTGCAGCTCACATGTAGGAACAGTGAATAAGCAGTTTCTCAATCTTCGAAGTGCTCTGAGAAAAAAAAAAGAAAAAAGAAAGAAACCCCAAAAAACCAACAACTCTTCTATAGCAGTGTTTCTTCCCCTCCTGGTCTCTTGGACAGATAGGAAAGAGGCAGCTCACATAGCCTGCCAGTTAAAACCATTAAGTGACTAGAGCAGGCCATTTCAAACAATTCCTACAAGGGACAACTCCAACTGTATTCCGTCCCTAGCCTGCACAAAAGAATGGCACTGAATGTAAGTTATTTATAAAATATCCGCAAACATTTCACTCACTTGATGATATCATCAGAAAGCACAAGTCCTTCCAAGCTGAGGTTCTCCAGTCTCTCACAACGACAAAGAATACTCTGGAGATCTGCAACAGATACTGTGCAATTTGACAAATCCATATGTTGAACTCTGAGAGGTCTAAGAGATGAGAAAGCATGGTTAATAAAACTGCACCAAAAAGCAACTTCAAATTTCATACACCATAAATATATGCAATACTGTACAAGTGTGCAAAGCTTACAGAGAGGAGTTGTATTTGTGAATATCAGCTGCACACTGCATATATTGTTAAACTTGCTGGCCATACCAATAACCTACCAGCCAAAACTTCAGAACTTTTATCTTTCAGATACTTAACAGGATTAAGCAGAATTGCTGCAAGTCTATCCTGCTAGAATTACACAGGTTTCTTGATGTTCACACATAAAAATGCTGATGAGGCTCACGTTTCTTGGTTCTAAAAGAAATAACTTGCAAGAGCACGATGGTGCTGGAAGTATACTTCCAAATGTCATGTTAGCTTATTTCTTAATAACTGACTGATGAATACAGATCTTATTTCAACATATGCCTCACCACTCATCAGCTATTCCACACTCCACAGAGATAATAAACACTGGTGAAGATGTTAAGACAAAAAAAAACGAAACGATAACTCAGTACACAGTGAAAGCCTTACTTCGTGGTTTTAAACAGCGGATTCCCAATACAAGATCTTGGGCAGCGGAACACAGTAACACCTGCAGGTAGCAGCTGTCCAATAACTCCTGGCAGCAGACTTCTACAAGTCAGATCAAGAGTCTGCCAGAGAGATTCATCAAACCTAAGGAGTAGAATTTTACTCATTAGCAAGGAAAAGTCATATCTTTGTGTACAACTACAGAAACTTTCCAGACTCACAAAAGATTGAGACAAAGAAAAGCCATTTAGTAGAATTTAATAATGCTAAAATAATTGAGTTGTCTTTTGAGACTACATGTACTTACAACTCATGTAATAGACTGAATTACACCTGAACATGCAAGATGAAAACCAAATCATTTATCAGCTTATGGAAGCAAAGTTCTTCTTAGCATTAAGTGACGAGAAGCAATACTTACGACAGACGATGCCACCTCTTGCAAATCATGGAAACTTTCAACAAGTCGTTCAATGGCAAATATGCAAAGATTGCCAATAGAAGCTCATCTGGGAGTTCATCCCAAGAAACACCTTTAGGGAAAGAGTGAGCATGCTCTAGTTAAAGCTGACTCATTTTTGCCTGCTGATGCCTTATTCAGTTTGGTTGCCAGAAGGACCACTACAGTCTGTTCCTGGACTCTACGTACTACTAATCCCTCTTTCATCTCTTCATTTTAAAAAATACACTTCAGGAAATGAGAGCATCTCAGCTATTTCGTTTATATTCTAAGGCTTGTATGCTTCCCCAAATACAGGAAGGGAAAAACAGATCTAGAAGGACTTCTCAGGACTTTTTGTCTCTATACTCCCTGCTGAAATGCCTTCCTTGCCACATGCCTTACATCCCCAGAAGGGGCCCAAAGGGAGGTATGCATCTGTATAGTACATAGAGAAAAGCAGGTAATGCAAAGTGCTCTTCAAAACACCTCTCAGGATCTATTTAAGGATGTGTGCCACCCCAAATTCTCACAAACAGGAACACAGCTACCCAGTGCCCAGCTACCCAGTCTGCAGCTGCCTATGACCCAGAGCTCATTTATTTAAAAGCAGTAGTGTCTGAGAGTATTTCTACTGCTCTGAGTACTGAATCCTTCCCCTGCCAGCCCAGAGCCCCTGCTGTACCTTTCCTGCAGTTTTCCAGCAGGAACCCTTGCACGCATTCACAGTCCAACCCCAATGGAGTAAGTGGCTGCCCCCTGGCACCCTGCAAGAGATGCGTATCTGGATTCTCGTGGTTTGAAGGGCCCAGTTTCTCAGTTCTGAGATTTCTATATAAAAAATTTCAAGTCCCTGGGTTTCAAAATTATGCTGGGGATGGCTGCAGCAATGGTTCCTACTAATTTAGCAGGGTAAACGAAAGCAGGGCTGCCTGCCAATACCTGGCTCTGCTTCTCGGAGCAGCCGAGGCCTGCGCACGATGACGAACTCCTTCTCCTTCACTTTCAGCCGCTTGTGGGGCGTGCAGACCGGCAGCAGCGGCTCCTGCGGGGTATTCTCATTGCCCAGCTTGTCCTTCTTCAGCACCGACACCCCCATGCCCGAGAGGAACTCCGAGGTCTTGCTGGAGTCCCAGTCCCAGCTGAAGCCAGTGGAGACGTTGCTGCCGGAGGAGGGGATCTCCTGGAGATGTTTTCTGCACGGATTGAGGGATTACGGGACTCAAAGAAACCCGCGTTCTGCGAGGCCAACGCCACGTTCTCTGGAGGCGGACACGTAGTACAGAAAGGCGGCAGAGAGCCGCCCGGCAGGGCGCAAGTCTCGCTAACAACCCGCATCCTCAAGCCGGGCAACAATCTCCTCTAAAAAAGTTTGATTTTAACCCCAGTACCCCCCTCCCCAGAGGAGCGGGGCGGTCCCTCCGCTCTCCCTCAGCGCCCAACCCGCTTCGCGCGGCCGCGGGGCGCCAGCAGCGTGAGGGAGCGCCCCGCGCCCCCCGACCCGCGCGCCTCAGCGGCCCTCAGCGCAGAGCGCTCCCCACGGAGCCACGGGCGCTCCCTCCCGCTGCCCCCGCAGCCGCCGAGCCCCACGCACTGCCCCCATCCCTCCTCCCGCTCGATCCGCGGCCTCCCCGCGCGGCGCCCGTACCTGAGCATGGCTGCGGATGCCTGGGCGGGAGACCCCTGCTCCGCGCAGCGCCCGCCGAGCCCCGCGCCCGCCAGCCTCGCGCCCGCTAGGCCCGGCCGACCAGAAGCCGCTCGCCGCCCGCCGCGAGCGCTACCGGGAGCTGTAGTTCGCTCCGCCTCGTCCTGCGCCCGCCTCTCGAACCGAGGCGGTGACGACGGAGGCGACGGCGGTGAGGAAATGGTGGTGCCGGGCCCCGCGGCGCTGAAGAAGCCGGGCGGAGCTGCGTGCGCGGCGATTTAAGGCCTCGCGCGGGGGAGAGGCGGTGGCGAGCATGGAAGGCGGGCGAGCCCTGTGGGAGGAGAGCCTGCTAAGCGCGGTGAGGGGCGGCGCGGGCCGCAGCGCCGAGTCACGGCCGGGGAGGGGCGCGGCGCGGCGGGGAGCGCGGACGACCCCGACCCCGGCTCCCGTCACTGGGCTGCGGGCGGACGGCGGGGCCTGGGCTCCGCCCGGCGCTGAGGAAGCGGGGATCCGACGCTCGTTTTTCGGCCCCGCGGCCCCGGCAGCGCTGCGGGCTGTGTCACAGCGCGGCTGTCGGTGCTTCGGCGCTGTGTGGAAGCCGGCCCCGCTGCGGCGGCTCTGCGCTCGGCGCCCCGCTCCTCGGAGCCTCCCATCGCGGGCAGGGCCGTGCCCGCAGCGGCGCGACGCGTGGCACGCGAGGCCCGGCCGGGAGAAGCCGCATCGCGACCGGAGGGGTAAATAAGGCTTACTTATGATTTCAGTTCTGATTTTCCGAACGGTCTTTCCGTCTCACTGCGGCGTTATGGTTGTGAAATCCTCCTCAGTGACACCTGTTCTGTGCGAGCGTCCCCGAGGCGGCCTGCGTCGCAAGTTCTGTTCTTCTGGGTTCATCCTGCAGCTGCACAGCTTTCATGTCGTACATCTCAGTGCCTGCCCACAGTGTGTTCTCTCTGATGTGTTGTTATTTCCGGAGTATTGTATGCAAAATTAGATGTTTAGTTAGTTTTAAACCTTGTTTGCATACACGCAATTATCTTAGAATCATAGATTGGCAGGGGTTGGAAGGGACATTAAAGCCCAACCAGTTCTAGCCGTGGGCTGGCTGCCCCCACCAGCTCAGCCTGCCCAGGGCCCCATCCAGCCCAGCCTTGAGCACTTCCAGGGATGGAGCACCACAGCTCTCTGGGCAGCAGTGCCAGCGCCTCATCGCCCTTTGAGCAAGGAATCTTCTAACGTCTAATTCAAATCTCTTCTCTTCTAGTTTAGAGCCATTCCCCCTTGTCCTGTCACTATTGGACCATGTAAAAAGTTTGTCACACTCTTGCTTGTAAGTTCTCTTCCTGGAGAGAAGCAGACTCTACAGGGCAGTGGTTGCGACACCAGGCTTGAAAGAGTTCAGGAAGTGTTTGGACAACACTCTCAGACATATGGTCTAGTTTTTGGGTGGTTGTGTGTGTAGCCAGGGGCTGGTGATCCTTGTAAATCCCTTCAACTCAGGGTATTCTGTAATTCTATACATTCCAAGATAATTTAAATTGCAGGTACTAATAAAATACTGGTTGGTGTGTGGTTTGATCACTGTTTCTTAGAAGAGCAAAGCTATGCAGATTGCATCTGTTGGCTCATTTCAGAGATTATTTCTTCCAAATGGTGCAGTAGGGTAACTGCTACAAGAGCACTGATCAGCTCTTGTGGGCAGCTGAAGGCCAGTTTCTTTCTGTAGGTAGTTCTGTCTGTGCTAAGAAGCTCTTCATCTGTCATCTGCTTATCTATTCCCTGTGGTGCAAGGGTCAGTGTGTACTACGGAAGTTAGGAGGTAACAAAAAAAGAAAATCAACAGACTGAGCAGAGCTGAGTATGAAAGTGTCTGAAGGGATTGTTTTTCAGTGTGGTGTTACCTCCTCTTCCTTTTAGTATTTCTACAATGTGAGATAGTCCACTATATTTTTTAAAGATGAAAGTTTCTAAAGCTTAGGCTTAAGCACTTATATTGGTGCAGAAGATTTAAGCATTTCTTTGGGATTCTTACCAGATGGTTTTGCAGAGTAGGGCAGGCATTAGAACCCTGTCACAGGTGTTATGGCAGACTATTTTTCTTTTGCCAGACGTGCTCAGTGGCAACCAGGACTGTTTGACAGCAAGGCAGGAGCTCACCATGGAACTCACCATTGATAGTGTGCTGGAGGTGGCAGCTTTCTTCTTACCTGTGTTCTGGAGCTGTGGATTCAGCTTCAGATGGGAGGTGCTGCTGCATAGATGTTTTTTTCAGCATGCTTTGGCTGTCTTCAATGTTGCTTTTTACAGCATCTCTTTCACAGTTCATTAATTTCCCTGCTGGGCCTTTCTTCACAGATGTGCCCTGCTATTTTTAGCCCTGTATTGAAGTACCTTTGCTATAAAATCAAGTGCTATTTAGAATCTTTAAGAAGTGGCAGGGTTGGTTTTGTGCTGTTTCATCTAGTAACACATAATTTCTGTGCCAGGCTGAGTGAGCAGTTAGTTCATTTGTAATGTAAGTACCCCTGCGCTTGGATAGTTTCCAGGCTGGCAAGGTAACTTAAGAAGATGTGGTGGTAGGGAGTCTCCAAGGTTATTAAAGTGTGAACTGACCCTTTCAGGGTTCTTGCTAAGTCCTTAGCTGTGTTTGGAGCTTAGAAGATTTGCTGTAGGAAGTTTGAAGCTCTTGTCCTATATGGGGCTACCCAGATTCTTCCATTCATAAGATTCAGAACATATGGTTTTAAAGCCTGTGTCTAAAACAAAACAGCTTTGGATCTAAATTACATTAAGTTGTAGGTGTTTTTTTTCCTATAGTGATAGAGTGTCAATAGATACTCTTCCTTTCAGTTAATAAGTTTGTTACTTCTTGTAATTGCTTAACAGAAACATTGGAGCAGAGAGAGCTCTTTTGAAGTACTTCACTAATCACAGGAGAAAATTTTCTGAGGGGTTCAGAATTTTAGCCAGTTCATTCTGGGGAGTGCTAATAGTTCAGAAACAGGATTGTGGTCAAGCATCTTATCTTTCTGTGAGCTAACAGCCAGCTTCAGAAGCAAATGCAGTTTCCCACAGGCAAGCATATCTTTCAGTAATATATTCTAAGTCTTGATTCTATTACCAAGAGTCCCAGATACGGCTGTCCTCGTAAGATTTTGTTCACAATAAAAGCTCCTCTCAAGAAATGTGTTTTTCTCTTTCTAGGACTTTTTTAATTTATTTGTTGTTTTTTTTTTTCTCCCTAGAACTACTTTTTACTGTTTTCTGTCTAACATTTTGAACCAAATCTTTGAAAGTGATTTGAAGCTGTGCTAAGTTCAATTCCTTCTTGATTTTAGTGTGTTCAATACACGCTTGTAACCTTTTTGAAATCTCTGATTAAGAACTGAGTGCAGCATCTTACACAAAAAATTTTCACGTTCTATACTGATTACTGCTCTTAGGTGTGACTGTAGTAAAAAGTTCTATAGGTATGACTCATGGAGGGTATGATGTATAATTTTAATTACATAGCATAAGGTGTGGCTTTGATGGGCATCCAAAGCTGCATATGTCAGATAGCTCTGCCTTAATAAAATTGGGTTTTGCGTGAAGAAGAAATGCTGTATTTTTAGTGGAATTTGCTATTATACTACAAATGTGAAAGACTTTGTTTTCTGAGGAAATGAGAATAGTTCATTCTATGTAATCTATTGTACTGTTGAGAAGTAGATTAGATACCTTGGATTCGTGGATTACAAATTAGCTGTCCAAAATGCAGTACAGGCAGATTGCAGGGGGATGTTTTGACTTAATAAAATTACAAATTTTAGTTGATAAACCTATTAAAAAACAGACAATATAGGAAGTGAATATAGAAAGTACATCTTTCATAAAATACAAGAAAGTAATCCAGACAATTTTCAGAATATAGGGTGCTTTGTGTATAACAGCTGACATGAAGTAAACAGACTGCTTTCACTATTTAGAAATTAAATGCAAAAGGAGCAAAATGGGGTAAACAAATATTCAGGGAAAATTCAGGGAATAACTGTTGTATGTGTCCCAAAAGACTTCCTAAAGGAAGTACTGTGGCATCACAAACTTTGAAATTCTTTACTAGAAATAAAGCAGGTTTCAGTGCATAGATCTCTCATAACATATTTTAGCTATGTACTGTGGGATTAATAGAAGAAACAGTTTACTTGAACAGAATTTGAGTAAATGGAGGGAAATTTTAGTAGTAGCATTTCTTTTAAATCTCTGGATTTCAGTGACAATTAAAAACACTTAAAAATAGAACGGTGAGGAAATGATGTCAAAATGTCTTTCAGTTGAATCAAAACAAAATGGTAACTTTGATGGAAAAGCAAGTTAGTCTGAGCAGGGTAAACTTTTTTTTTTTTCTTTTTTAATATATGAAGTGTTAAAGATCAGAAGCAACTTTACTAATCATATAACAAGGTGTTGACATTTTCTCTTAGCAGATTTGTGCAGCTCACTGGTCTTTTGCTTAATAGCATGCCTGTGTGAGGATGAGCTTTCTAAGAATTTTTAGCAGTAGCAGTAAGTGACTGTAACATTAAGTCATCCCAGAGAAAAGGAAAATATAGTAAGTCTAATAATGAATGGAGACCTGTGTTCTTCTGAAGAAGAGCAGAAGAAAAGTAGGAAGGCAAATTAGCTAGCTAACACATTCCCTCATATGAAATTTTAGAAGAGCTGCATTGCAAGTAGCTTCGCTGTATTTTTATGCTCTGTTAACTCTTGAGTAGAGAATTTAAACGCATAGTTGATTAGCAGTCCATTAAATAGAAGTTTCTGAGTGGCTTTTTGGAAACATTTAACTTTAAATCTTTCCTTTATTCAAATTACTTGAATTCTTCTAGATGAAGAATAAAAGAGAGGTCTTTTTTTTTTGTTTTTGTTTTTTTGTTTTTAATTTATAGCTATCTTAAAAGTTACGGTTATAGTCTTATTTGCAGACAAAAAAATGATTTCAGGACCATGAAGATGCAGAAGAGTTCAAAGCATCTTGCTGAAAATCTTGTTCTCCATTCTTTTTAAATAAAATCAGAAAAACCTGTCAGTAAGTTTAAAAATGTATATTGAAAACTCTTTTCTGTCTAAATATCTTTGAGAGATTTTAATGTAATTAAATAACATCTTGTCTTACAGTTCTAATCAACATTCTTATGTGAGCTGTGCTGTGTGTCTGGAGCGAACCTTCAATAATGAGTGGTGCAGCGTTGGGCCTTGAGATCGTGTTTGTCTTTTTCCTGGCCTTATTCCTTCTTCATCGGTATGGAGACTTCAAGAAACAGCATAGGCTGGTGATCATTGCAACATTACTGGCTTGGTATCTCTGCTTTCTAATTGTATTTATACTGCCTTTGGATGTCAGTACGGTAAGAAGCTTGTAAGATTTTCCACTCTGTTAAGTAGAATGAGGCATTTGTTTTGTTTGGTTTTAAGTTCGTATTTCCAGAGTACTATATCTAAAATAACAAATAAAGTTCTCTAATAGTATCTTTTTAAACTTAGCACATCAGTTTTTGCATGGCAACTTCTCTGTTACAGTTAGTTACAGTTAGTTTTGTTTTATAAGACAACAAATCTTTCACGTTTTAGAATTTTTTTTTGTTTATAGCAATTTTTAAATCTATTTCAGCATCATAGAAACACTTCCATTTTACTTTCTTTTCCTACATGCAGACTGCATGTTGAGTGTGTATTATTTTAATTGCTGCCAAATGTAAATTCAGAGAAAATGAAATGTATTTAAAATGGGACTTGTTTTTTAATTATATGTTGTACTTTTTTCCCTGATAAAAAATTGTCTTTTAGACAATTTATAATCGATGCAAGCTTGCTGTTAACTCCAGCCCTGCAGAAACCAATGGCTCTTTTGTTACTCTGGCTCCAAGGTAAGTTTTCTTCAAATAGGCTTTTCTTAAATATTTCATGGCTTCCTTTATGTAAGTATTACCTGTGTGATGTGACATTTGAAGATTTTAAGCATATAGGAGGGTGAGAGAAGAGGTGAAGAAAAGTGTATCTGCATCTATTGGTAGGCATTTATTTGTAATAACTCTAGTTCTAATTAATTGCCTAAATATTCCTATTAATGTTTTTAATTTCATAATAGATTTCTGCTGTTGTTAAACTGATAGAAGTAAGGTTTTTTTTAACGACTTTGGTTATCTGCCAGGAAATGACTTGATGAATTTTAAGGCTTTGGATATGAAAATCTAATTCTATAAATCATTAATGTAGACATTAATAGACTTGTCTTATATTCAGGGAGCATATGTAAGGGTTATTATAATGCATATATAATAATTGAAGTTAGAATAGAGTAGATCAGTTGGATATAGGAATAGTTCAAATGATATTCAAAGATGAGTGCAGCTGTCTGATCACTTCAGGGCTAACCAGAAGTTAAAGCATATTGCTGAGGGCATTATCCAAATGCCTCTTCAACACTGACAGGTATGTCACATTGAGCACCTCACTAGAAAGCCTGTTCCAGTGTTTGACAACCCTTGTGGTAATTAAGTTTTTCCTAATGTCCTCCCTGGAAATAAATAAATAAATAAATAAATAGAATCTGTAATCTGAAACTGCTCACTTGCTCTCTTTGGCAGGAAGGAAATAATAAAAGATGGGAAATGTGGATGTATGTTGACTCTTTCTGTGTCTCCTTTGCCTCTGTTGGCTAGTTCCACATCTTGCAGATATGTGCAGTGTAGTTACATTTAAGGTGTCCATTATGTACAACGTAATGCCAGATTTGTTTTCCAAAAGTAGGGACTGCCAGAATATTGTTATTGAAGCACTGTAAAATGCTAAACCTAGTAATACAACTTCTTACCTTTTGTTTTAGACTGCTCAGTATATGCTAATTAAACATATTTAGGTAAATACACAATGTGAAAACTATTTAATAGCCTTGTGACTTGCCTGTAATTCCAGAATATTGCTGACAACTGTTACATAGTATATGTCTTGAGACTATAAAAAAGAAATATTAACTTAGTTGGCTAGGTAGTGTTAGTATTAATCAGATCTTAAAATTTTGTTTGAAACCTCTAGTCACACTAAGTCATACTATCTTAATTTGATAGTTCTGAAAATATTTAGACTGTGTACATTAAGGAAAAAAAAATACCTCACAGCACAGGTTTAACTAGTTTGATTCTGGAAAACATCAATTATTTCTCAACAGATACTCCTATTAAACTGGCGGAGTTGCCCCTTGACTCACCCTTATTTCATTGCTCAGACAAGTGTGGAAAATAATACCACAAATATCTTGGTGTAGATGAACACTGCGCCATTTGTTCTGCTCTGTAAAAAAAAGGTTCCAATGGCTTTTTTTCTGTTTGTGTCCTGAAGCAAACATTACCTTCATTGTAACTGTCGAAAGGTACAACAAAATCAGTTTATGCAGATGCAACTAAGCTGAGATGGGTTATAGGAAAAACAGCTAATATACTTCCTTGCCACTGAATGGTCAGAAGACCATTCAGTATAGTATAGTTCATTTTAGTATATCAAGGTGGTGTGCTCCATAGATACTTTTGGAAAATCTACAGTGCAAACTAAAGTTAAATGCTTTTCTTTTTATGAAGAAAGTGCAAAAAGAAAGATTAAAGCCCTGAATTGCTTATTAAAATGTCTCTTTGAGCAGGTTCTTTTTAAAATAAGCTGTCTTGTCCAAATATGTTATTTTTAATGAGCCAAATACTAAATATACTTCAGGATTCAGTTTATTCTCTTCTGGTGTGGTTGATGGTTGAGTACTCAAATATAATGTGTTATTTCTTTTGCTTTTTTCAAAATCCTTTCTAGGTAGTGAAATTTATAGAGGGGAAAAAATAATTCAATACTTTTGACTTCACAGCTACTAATAAGCTTCTATATGTTATTACAGCAAGCAAAAATGTTTCAAACCATGGAGTTATATCCCTAATGGAATTATGCCAATTTTCTGGCGTGTTGTATACTGGACATCACAGTTTTTAACATGGTAAGTAAAACCAAGGAATATGACAGTGTTATACGCATCCAGTTTATCAGTGTAATGTAGCACTTGCAATATTGTCATTCTACAAAGCTATCAATGAAATTTCTTGTGGTTTAACCCAAAAGGTGGTTGTTTGCTCACTACCCTCCCTTCCCAGTGGGATGGGGGAGAGAATCAGGGGAAAAAAATTATAACTTGTGGGTTGACGTAGAAACTATTTATTAAGATAGAGAAAAGGTAAATAATGATAATAGCTATTACAGAATTTCCTTGGCTCTCTAAAGCACTGGTCAGCAGCAGCTGAAACATTGATGAGTTATCAACGTTGTTCTTCTCCTAAACCAAAGCATAGCATCACACCAGACACTATGAAGAAAAACAACTGTCTCAGCTGAAACTAAAATATTTCTCTAAGTACTGTATCGTGTACTTTTTTTGTGCCTCTCTTCATGTTACAGCCTTATACCTGTAGTTCACACTTGTATCTGAAACTGACCAACTTACACACAGGTTTTTATGGGGAGATTGTCTGAAAAGATTGCGTTTTAGACAATGTAACATCAAAATAACTGTATGAATAAGTTGGTTAATTTTAATGTAATATTGTAAATTATTTTATTTTTATTAAATTATATAGTAAAAAACTATAGATATATCTATGTCAAACTGATAGTGCTTTTGGTTTAGATTATTTATAATCAGTGACCAACATTCTTAAATAGCTACTTCTTTATCTCAGTTATGAAAATCAAGATTGGTAGTGAGCTCTTGATAAAGGAGTTTTTTCCTAGTAAAGCTAACTATTGTTTTTATCTACAACTTGCTTTTAAAGGTTTGCCCTCAGACCAATATATCTGGAATAAAAACTTCATTAGCTCATCTTGACAGAAGCTTTAAACACCTTTCTGTCAATATCTTGCTACTAATAGACTATTATATGCGTATATGTATGTGTATGTATGTATATATGTGTATTTTTTTTTTCGATTGATTGATCTGTTTTGCTTTTGTTTGCATTCTTCATAGGATTCTGCTACCTTTCATGCAGTCGTATGCTAGGTCAGGAGGGTTCTCCATTACTGGAAAGATTAAAACTGCACTGATTGAGAATGCAATCTATTATGGCACTTATCTGCTGATTTTTGGAGCATTTTTAATATATGTTGCTGTAAACCCAAAGTTCAATTTACAATGGTAAGAATAATATTGTGAGTACTTGACACAAGTGTTTAAAGTAAAGCATAATAAAAAAAATTGTCCTGTGTAGAAGTCTTCTGTAGGCTCTTTAATATACACAAAAAACATTTTTGTTGATTCAACTTTTGCTAGACAGACCTTGAACTCTTTTTTATGATATATTCAGTTTTGGTTTTGATACATAAAGCAGGGGCATTTTTTTGTATCTGCAGTGATTTTATTTTTTCTTACTTGAAAATGGACATGTGGTGCTAGTGCTGAGACTTTCTCAGTGCTTTCAAAACATCTTTGTCAATATTTTGTGTAGCATTTCTTCCTCCTGTTGATTCATTTATAGCTTATGATGTAACTTAATTAATAGAGTAGTAAACAATGTTGTACACTGCCTGGTTGCTGTCAGCTTATGAGACTGACTACAAATCCTGAGTTCTGAGACTGTTTCATGCAGTCTCCCAGTGTGGTGTTATGACCTCACTTTTATTAAGTTCGCTAACTTTATATTGTTTCCTAAAGGAACATATTCCTTTCAGGAATATTTTATCTCCCTCCAGGAAGGGCACACCTAAAATAACTTTTGCCACTTCTGGAAATGTGGTAGATTTTAAAATAATGGTAGGCTTAAATCCCAACTAAGTAATGGATTGGGCCTGGGCAACAGTTACCGAGTTTGTTTCTGTAAATTTGAAAGCCCTGTTTGTGCATGGAGACTCCAAGGTTGCTTTCTTGCAGGTGGGATGGAGGATTATATCTTGCTGACTTTGCTTTTTTGTTTGTGCTTTTTGTTTGTTTTCCTTAGGAATCAACTTCAGACTATTGGGATAGCCGCTGCGAACACATGGGGTCTCTTTCTTCTTGTGTTGCTTTTGGGCTATGGTCTGGTGGAAATTCCCCGTTCTCACTGGAATGGGGCTAAGAGGGGTTATCTTCTCATGAAGACCTATTTCAAAGCTGCCAAACTGATGACTGAAAAAGCAGATGCAGAGGAGAATTTGGAGGATATTATGGAGGTAAGTAACTAGCTTATGCTACGAAGTAACTGAAGGTTACTGTCAGGTTGTCATCATTGAATTTCCTGGTGTTAAGCATTTGTGGCAAGAAAATGCAACTACTTACTATGAGGTATCTGTAATTTAAGATCATCATAGCGCGCCTCTTGATGACGCTACATCCTATATAAATATTGGAAGGGAAGTAGTTCCTAACTAGAAGAATATTTATCTGCTACCTGCTAGTCATTATTTGTTAGTTTTTTGTTTGTTTGTTTAATTTATTGACCATTTTGGAGTAATGTTGGTGACTAATGAATAACAATCCAGAATGATGCTTGAAAATCTAGTGTACAGGTGTTTTGCTAGTGTTCTTGCGAACTATGTTGTGTATACTTCTGTGCTCATCTTTCAGTATGTTTGGAGTCACAGAATGGTTTGGGTTCTGGTTCTAACCCCTGTGATGTGATCAGGGCTGTCAGCCACTAGATAAGGCTTCCCATGACCTCATTCAGTTTGGCCTTGAATGCTTCCAGAGATAGGGCATTCCGAGTGTCTCAAGGCAACCCGTTCCTTTATTTTCTTGATAAAGAATTTGTTCCTAACATCTAAGCTAAATTTAAAACCATTCCTATAGTATCACTATCAGACAAAAAAGCTGGTCTCACTCTTGTTTACAAGCTCCCTTTAAGTACTGGAAGGCCACAGTATGGTCTTCTTGAGCCTTTTCTTCTCCAGGCTGAACAAGCCTCGCCTTTCTTCATAACAGAGGTACTGCAGCCCTCTGATCTTCTCTGTGGCCTCGGCTTTACCTGTTTCAACAGCTCCATGTCTTTCTTGTGTTGGAGGCTGCAGACCTGGACACGATACTGCAGGTGGGTCCTCACAAGGGAAGAGCAGAGGGGGCAATCACCTCAACCTGATGGTCATTCCTTGTTGGATGCAGCCCAGGTTACAGTTGACCTTCTGAGCTGCAAGCATTTTACTGCTGACATAGCAGACATAGCAGACAAGCATAAAGCTTTTCATCCACCATAATCTAAATCCTTTTCTGCAGGGCTGCTCTCAGTGACTTCTCCAGGTTGTACACATCTGGGATTGCCACAATCCAAATGCAATACCTTGCACTGTGCCTTGTTGAACCTCATTATGTTCATGTCAGCTCACTTTCTGAGCTTGTCCAGGTTCCTTTGGGTGATATCCATTTATTCTGTAATATCAACCACGCCACAAGCTTGCTGAGGGTGCACTTGATCTAGGTTGTTGATAAAGATGTTAGATGGCATTGGTCACAAGACAGAGCTGTGGCAGACATTGCTTGTCACTGGCCTCTGTCTAAACAAAAAGTCTTTGTCTGCAACCATCCAAACAATTCTTTATCCACTGAAGAATCCACCATTCAAATCCACAACTCTCTGACTTAGAGATAAGAATGTGGTTTGGGAAGATGTCAAAGGTCTTGTGGAAATCCAGGCAGATGACATCACTTGTCCTTCCTTTTCTCTGCTGATGCTGTCTCCCATTATAGAGGGCCACCAGATTTGTCAGGCATGATCTGCAATTGGTGAAGCCATGCTGATTATCTTGGTTCACCTCCTTGTCTCACAGATGCTTTAACACAGATCTTTCAGCAGGATCTGCTCCATGACCTTCCCGGGCATTGGGTTAGCATTCACAATCCTATAGTTCCTTAGGTCTTCGTTTTTCACTTTCTTAATAAGGGGGTAATGTTTCTGTTTCTCCAGTCACTGGAGACTTCTCATGGCAGTCAGAACTTTTTAAGTATGATGGAGAGTGGCTTGGTAACCACATCAGCCAGTTCTTTTAGGGCCCTGGGATTAATGTCATTGGTCCCTGAAGGCTTGTACACACTCAGTAGGCAATTCATTGGATGATCTTGTACTTATTGGGAGGGATTTTGCTCCCTCAGCCCCCACCTACAGGTTCAGGGATGTGAGAGGCATGAGAAGTCTGACTACCAGTGAAGGCTGAGGCAAAGAGCTTGATGAGTACCTTAATCTTCTCTTTAACTGCTGTTGCTGATTCTCCCTTTTTGATTTATCACAGGGGGGTATACTCTCTTCTTGCTGTTCTCTTCTGAAAAATGTACCTGTAGAATCCCTTCTTGTTGTTTTTCACCTTCTTCACTAAGTTCAGTTTCATCTGCACCTTTGCTTTCCTGGTACCATACATGGATAATGTCCATGTATTCTTCCCAGGCCACATTTCCTTGCTTCTGCTGCCTGTACATTTCTTCTTTTCCCTCAGTCTAATGAGCAGGTCCTTGGTTAGCCATGCCAGTTTCTGCCTCTTGTTCTTGATTTCTTAAGGTGGGGGATGGAGAGCTCTTTTGCTATCAGAAGGGTGTCTGTGAAGAGCGGCCAGTTCGGTTTTGTTCCTTTGTACCTGTGAACAGTTTTGCAGGGGAGCTCATCCAGTAGTTCCGTAAACAGTCTGGAGTTTGCTCTCCTGAAGTTCAGGGTCCTGACTTTGAGCTCAGCTGGGGCATGGTTGCTACAGCCCAGAATGCCTCAATCGGAGCTTCTTTAATGAGCTCATCTGCATTGCTGGGCACCAGGTCTAGTAAGTCTTAAGTTACTTACTCAGAATCCTTGGAGGTACCAAGTTGGATTTTCAGGACCACTCCATGTTCTTCGAATACAAAATAGATTTTTTTTCCAGAAAACATCCAATAGATGTTTTTTTCCAAGATTTTCTTGTGAGAGAGACACACTGCTTGTGTGAGGAAGCAGTTTTTCCTATTGGGTTGTAGTAACAGAACAGAAATGCTGTTGCCTGTTGTACTGTTGTAATACTGTGTCTTAGAAATAATAAGTCAGAGGAGTTGCAGGAGAGGCTAGTAACTTCTGTGGTGATTCAACATAACATAGTAGTAAAATCTTAATTTCTTCAGTAACAGTTTTACGATGAAAATGCTAAAAATATTAGACGTACATAACTATGAAATTCAGTAGAGAGAGAGCAACAATAACTTTGTTTAACAAGATAGCACTTGTTTTGTTGGCTTTTTCTTTTACTTGACTGTTCTGTAATTCCCATAGGATGATTGACACATTCTGAGGTTAGATCTTGTACAAGATAAAATAGACTATATTGTTAATGCATATAAAAAGTTATCTCAAGTATTGAGAACTGTAAGTCACTTGTCTTATAATCTGCAGATATTGCATTTTCCCTTTAGAAAACTTGTCCAATATATATTTTCTTTGTTTTCCAGCCTTCAGAGGAACACTGAAACTTGAAAATATATTAAAAGATAAAAATCCTAAGAGTACCAGTGATGACTCTTATAACTTGATTGTGAATATTATACGTTAGTGTCGTGGCAATTTAATCACAGAATATTAACATTCACCCATTTTAGTTTAGACTTCTGTTTTCTTCCTTTATCAGAAAGAAATTACTAAAATGCTAGAAATTGTAGTACCAGAGGACACTTAGAAAGGGACTTAGCTATAAAAGCAGAACTACACCATATAAGAAGAAAATTCCTTCACCTTATTTACAGCTGAAACAGGAAAATAAGTTCTGTTTCAGCATTCATGAGTAGAAAACAGTATTCCATAAACCAGAATAATATTTGCATGCTGACAATGTAGTATCTTTATAAATACATAACTTCTTTCTAAATTGTCTTTAATTTGTGTTTTATTAGATGTCTAGTAAAAAACTCATTAAGTTTTGCTGGTTATAGGCTCTGATGGTTATTGTTTTCATTGGTAGGGAAGGAATTCTAGTCTTTTCCTGTAAAATTTCATCTACTGACCAAACAACTCTGTGTTTTTATTCTCGACAGGAAGTTCGTAAAGTAAGTGAGAGTATCAAGTATAATCACCCTTTGAGAAAATGTGTTGACACAATACTGAAAAAGGTAATAAATAAATTAATTTGCTCTTTAGCTATCTTCAGCTAGTTCATGGTGGGGGGAGGACGGAGTACTTCCAACACCTACTGAATGCTTGTATCTTATTTTCTCTTTAACTTGAATTTTCTAATTGTCATCTTGTGGTTTTCAGACCAGCTTTGGTGTTTAAACTCTGTATGGAATGAGTTATTACGATGAATGTAATTATCTGATTTGTTTTGAGATATGTAGTAGTATGTTATGAACAGAATTTGTGACAGTCGATCACTTACAATAATACCTTTTTTTTTTTTTAAGTATAATGATGTATGTAGAAAATGCCATGTTTTCCCACTGCATGCCTTATTCTGAATTTTTGCAAAGCACAAAATATGTTCTTGAGAAATAATTTGAAGTGCTTTCTGATTAACAATGTCAAACTTCTTTTTTGAGAAGGAAAAAATATTTCTTCTAATAGTAGTAAATAAATGTTAGTATCAGAAGGAAAAATCTGTAGTTAGAGTGAGCTTCTCAGTTGCATGAAATGTTCATAATATTGAAAAACATATAAAAAGTAGTTATTTTTCTTTTCAGTGTCCTACTGAGTACCAGGAAAGAATGGGTAGGAACATGGATGATTATGAGGATTTTGATGAAAGACAGAACAGTTATCCAAGTGAAAAAAGTTTGGTCAAACTTCACAAGCAGGTATGTTAATAAATGAGGGAATGTGCAATTTATTTTAATGTTATGAGAAAAATAGAAATCTAACAAATATTTTTTTGAAGTATTTTACTCAAATAGCTTACTATAATGCATGATTGTCAGCCTTTTTGCTTGCCTGGGCCGCATTTAGTGAATAGAAATTGTCTTGGGCAGCATATACATAGGTTGCTCCAATAGTAATGCCTTTGATTCATTTCCATGGAAACAGTAACAGATACGAAGAGCACAATAACACTATTTGATAGAGCAAATTCTGAACTACAAAACACTGTTTTTCAACACTGTCACCACCATTAGCTGTGCATTTTTGACAGCAATGAACAAGAGCCTGCATGCCACATAACAATCTGACTCACTGTCACCACTCCTGAAACACGCGACCCACCAACTCACTGTGTTCACATTCACCCTTGCACCATTCTGGACATGAGCCAGCAATATTTCCTCACAGCCTAGAAAGCCTACCATATTCTGGGCTGCATCAAAAGAAATGTGGCCAGCAGGGTGAGAGACATACCCTCTACTCTGTGCTAGGGAGGCCTCACCTGAACTACTGCATTCAGATGTGAAATCCTAGCCCAGGAGAGACATGGACCTGCTGGAGTGTGTTCAGAGAATGGATGCAAAAATGACCCAAGGGATGGAAAGCTTTCCCTATGAGACAGGCTGAGAGAGCTGGGGCTTTACGATCTGGAGAAGGCATCAGATAGCTGGTAGTGACCTTTCAGTATCTACAGGGGAACTGTAAGAAAAAAGGGGACAGACTCCTTAGCAGGGTCTGTTGCAATAGGACAACGGGAAATGATTTCAAACTTGAAGAGGGTAGATGTTGGGTGTTAGGAAAAAGTCTTTTACAGGGAGGGTAGTGAAGCACTGGAACAGGTTGCCTAGAGATGTGGTGGATGCCTTGTCCGTGGAAACATTCAAGGCCAGGCTGGACCAGGTTGTGAGCTCTTGATATAGCTGTTCACGTTCCTGTTCAGTACAGGGGGTTTGAACTAAATGGCCTTTAAAGGTCCCCTCCAACTCAAAGGATTCTGTGATTCTATTTTCAAATTCCTTTATCACAACAAAAAGCACTGCTGCTTATTCATCTCTTTTTAGAGTCCTGTGTTTAGCCAAATTATTTGCCATCACCTGAGTCAGAACTGCACAGCACTGCCTTCCCTGTGCCCTGCTTTCAGTTGACAGTGTTAATAGTACATTGACTGTTTGGCTGTTGCTGAGTGATGGCTGAAAGCCTGGGGCTCCTCTGTGGGGAAGAGCTGCTGTTTTTACAGCAGGAATGGGATGGGCTGCATTGTGAGCCGGGATGGGCCACAGGTTGGACATGCCTGCTGGAGTGGATTTAGCAACTCTACTTAATGACTTTTCATAGAGAAAGAAAATATTAGAAGTTCAATATCTCAAATGATCCAGACCTATTTTCTGGTTATGTAAAAACTGTTCCTCTTGCAAGATAACTTGACAGTATTTTAGTTGGCTAGATGATAGATGATATTTGGGGCCTTGGAATGACTTACTGGCAGTGCATTATAGAAATGTGTGGTATTTGCTGATTTGCAAAAATAAAAAACTATGTTGAAAAAGTAGGCTTGATAACGATACAGATTGATTGTTACAAAAATATAGCAATACCCAGGAATGTGGTGTTTGTTTCCTTACAGCTTACCTATTAAGAGAGTTTACTTGCCTGCCTTTGTGATTCTATGGAATTAATCTTAGCAGTTTTGTAATGTGGAAATTTTTAGGGGATTTCTGCGAAGTTTTTCTCTCATTCCTTGAAATGAATATGTTGTAACCATAATTTCTTGGAATTTATTGTAGGTGATTTATTCAGTACAAAGGCATCGTCGTACGCAGGTCCAGTGGCAAATTCTTTTAGAACAAGCCTTTTACCTGGAAGATGTGGCAAAAAATGAAACTAGTGCAACTCGACAGTTTGTTCATACTTTCCAGTCCCAGGAGCCAGAGAATAAAATTATTCAGTATTTCTACACACCAACTATTGGTAAGTGCTGTTATCCAGATTTTGAATATATGAAGGAGTAACTGGTAATGTTGTGTAAGAACAGATGGTTATATATGAATATAATCAGTTAGATTAGAGGGAAACAAATGTGCATTTGAAATGCTTATTTAATGAGAGATTCATCAGGTATTGAGTTATGCACTTGTCTCTAGGTTTAAATTTTTACAAATTTAATAGCAGTAGCATGTTTTAATAGTAACTGAAATATTTTGAAACTTTGAAGAAAAAATTCGAAATTTCAAATTATGAAATTGTAGCCGTCTTCTACGTTTATAGATTATTATTGGGATATTGCAGCTCTTGTAGTAATGCAGGGGGAAGAGCTCTTTGTCTGTCCTATACTGATAATTAGAAATGTTGCTCATGCAGTTTTTTAGAAAGTGTCTTGTCAAATATTAACTTCTAATTTGATGTATAATATCAGTGGTTTATTTCTTAGTACAGTTTTACAGTCTAAGCTTTGGTAGTAGAGTAATATAAGAACAAGCAAATAAAAAGTGGGTCATAATATTTTGGCTGAAAGTGGAGAATCTAGTTCTGCTCCTTCTAATACTTATTGCCAGTAATTTTGCAAAATTTGCAACCCAAATCCATTCTGTTTTCCACAGCTGTGCATATGATTCTCTAGGGCTGAAGCATGATTAAAGCTCAGAATTCGAATGTGCAACTCCAAAGATTTAGTTTAGATTTTAAGGTTGTTCATGAAGTAAGTTATTAATGGGTTTTTTGTTTTTCTGCAGGAGTTTCATTTCTGGTTGTCTAACTTTCATTAACTCAGGTTGTATGTGTATTTGTTTTTCAGAGTGGTACTGGGAGTGTCTTCTACGACCATGGTTTTACAGGGTTCTTGCAGTTGTTTTGGCCACGTTCTCTGTAATTGTCGTGTGGTCGGAATGCACGTTTTTCAGCACAAGGCCGGTTTTATCACTATTTGCAGTTTTCATACAGCTGGCAGAAAAGACATACAATTATATATACATAGAGGTAAGTTTGAGATAATCACTCAACTAAAAGCTTCAAACTAGATTGTTTTTACAATAATAGTAGATGAAACTGACTTTAAGTTTCTGTAACAAATTTATAAGCTTTCAGAAGCTCTGTACAATACATAGTACTCTTGCCCCTCCATTACAGAGAGAAACCCATATGACTGAATACCACATGTAAATAATTTGTGAAACATTAGCTTGGAGCCTAAATATTTAGACCTACCATCTAATTGACCATTTATGTGACCTTTTTTTCCTAAGTAGGGATCCACTGCTGGCCAGAAATCCAGTCTTCCCTGATGGCGCTAGAATTTGACTGCAAAAAGTTATTGCAGAATCACAGAATGGCCAGGGTTGGAAGGGACCTCAAGGATCACAAATCTCCAACCCCCCTGCCACAGGCAGGGCCACCAACTTCCCCATTAATACTAGACCAGGCTGCCCAGGACCTCATCCAACCTGGCCTTGAACATCTCTAGGGTCAGGGCATCCACAACCTCTCTGGGCAGCCTGTTCCAGCACCTCACCACTCTCTCTGTAAAGAACTTCCCCCTGACATCCAACCTAAATCTTCCCTCCCTCAGCTTAAAACCATTTCCCCTTGTCCTGGGGACAGTAAAGCAGATGAGTGGAAGAAGCTTCAGTATACTAATAAATTGGGTTGAACTTAAAACACCTGTTCTTAATGCTTCTTAAGGGAAGATGTTAAATCATTCATAGTAATTATCAAGATACTTAAATCAATGCCATTTCTGTTACAAAAAAAGTAGAATAAGTGTTTCTAATGTCAATTGTGATATAACTTACATGAAGTTCAGAATGTTTCAGGTATAGTTCAACACAAGTTTAAGGAGGTTTTTTTCCTAGTATTGGCACTGATGTTATTGTCCTATCTCAAAATGAAAAATTACACTGCATTCAATCTGTTGCATATACAGATTGTGTTAACACATTAATACATTTAGTAGAGTTCTTGTGTTTTAACTTGGCAAGCAGCTAAACACCATGCAGCTGTTCATTCACTGCTTTTGTGTGGCAGAATAGGGGAGAAAATCGAATAGCATAAGAACTTACAGCTTCAGATAAGCACAGTGTAATAAGAAAGAAGAAAAAGAAAGAAAAGGAAAATAACAGAACTAAAATCATAATAACAAAAAGAATGAACAAAACAAGTGCTGCACCTGCTAATCAGTGCCCAGCCAGTCCGCAAGCAGTGGCAGCCACTGTAACCAAACCCCAACCCCATTTTACTGTTCAGCCTGGTATTGTATGCTATGAGGTGTCTCTTTATCTAGTTTGGATCAGGTGTCCTGGTTCTGTCCCTTCCCAGCACCTTGTGCACCCCCCTACTCCTTGCCGATGAGGAAATACAGGGTAATATGTTGACGTGTAATGAATTGTTCAGTAGCAGCTAAAGCATGGGTGTGTTATCAGTGTTATTCTAAATCCAAAATACATCACCATACCCTCTACTAGAAGGAAAATTAATACTGTTCCAGGCAAAACCAGGATAGTTCTATATTCAGATAAGTTCTTTTTTCCCTCTTTTCTAGATGGCCTGTTTTCTTACCATCTTTTTTCTCAGTATCTGTGTTTATTCCACTGTCTTCAGAATCCGCGTATTTAACTATTACTACTTAGCTTCACATCATCAAACAGATGCATACAGTCTCCTTTTCAGTGGCATGTGAGTATGTGGCACGTATTTTGCAAATTTTGTGTCAAATAATCTATTGAAAGTGTCCATTAAGCTTTAGTTATGTCCTTTCATTTATATTCATATATATGTTTAAATTGTGTCATAGAATGGTTTAGGTTGGGAGGGACCTTAAAAATCATCTAGTTTGAGACCACCACCTTGGGAAGGATTGCCTTCATGTAGGTTAGGTTGCATAAAGCCCCATCCAACATAGCCATAAAAGTCATACTCCTTGATATGATTTCTTAATATTTTTGGTGCAATAAATTGTTTTAAATGCTGTTTGTTACCTCTTGCATTTATTCAGGTTATTTTGCCGTCTTACTCCACCATTATGCTTGAATTTTTTGGGCTTGACCCATATGGATGCAACAATTTCTCACAGAGATGCTCAACCAACTGCTTACACATCAGTAAGTACAGGAAATAAGGCATTGAGGCTTTGTCATGGTTTAGAGAAGAGGAAAATGCTTTGTGATACTTTTTATAGTAAGATTCAGATATTCGTATTTTTGCACTTACATTAAACAGGTTAGAAACAGTTATAGAGCAGGACTTTGGTAATGATTGCTGGCTACAGTGGAGTTGTCAACCAGATGTTTTGTCCTTTGTCCTAGAAAAGTGTAACTTGCTGAAGAGTGCAGGCTTCTCTTCTTAAGAGCTTTAGCTTCCACTGGCTTCTGTATATGGGGTATCTTTATGGATTAGGAGCCAACCCCTACTGGCTGCTGAAAATTGCTGAGTTTGGTTCTACTGAATAAATAGTTTCTGTCAGCAAGTAATATCTACCTTTGTTCTTAGCAAATAGTCACTTTTTCTTGTACTTGCAAACCAGATGAAACACACTAAATTTGTACTGAATTTGGATTAGGTGAGATGACAAGAATTAGATCTGTGATGATAATATCTATGTTTACATAACCAAAGAATTGTATATTTATGTGTTGTGAACTGGAAACAATGAGGTAGCAAAATCTTTCTAGGGTATCACCAGAGCTTGTTGTTCTTCTGTTTTTCAGATAATGGGATCAATGAAAGTGCTGTCCTTCATTGCAGATGGATTCTACATATATTACCCAATGCTTGTTGTCATTCTCTGCATTGCCACGTACTTTAGGTAAGTAATATGCAAGACTCATCCTCTGCATTTCTTTACATTAATAACTTCAATTTTTTCACTTAAGAAGAGACTCACTTCCAGATTATGAGATGTGACACATTAACAGAAATGCAAAAAATAAATAGTTTTATATTTATTTGCATTAAATGTATACATTTTAAGAATATTCTTTGTATGAACTCCTAACTTTTTGATTTTCTTTAATACTAATTCCATTTTCCACTAAAGATTCATTAATCAGATTTTGGGTTGTTTTCTGTTCAAACTTTGAAGCCCACAAAAATTCACCTTATGCTATATGAAATTAAAATTACTGTGAGGAAGCTATATTTTCAGCAGTTTTCTGATACACAGATTTGCAAAAACTGTAGGTAATGAACATTCCAGTAGGCTTGCAACAAATATATGTGGAACTGAATGTTTAATTAAAATCTGTAAAAGAAAGCTGTTTCCCTTATTTAATCCAGTGGTTACCAGACTAGCTGGTGTTTTAAATCACTGGATCTTTCTCCTTTAAACACAGATTGCTGGAATCTGAAAAGGTAATTACAGGAATTACTGTTACGTGCTTGCTTTTGTTTGTTTTATTTAAAAAAATCTGCTTCTGACGGCTCTAAGAGATATGTTTTTATGTTTGTTTGCTTCTTCAGTCTTGCAGTGGTATTCAGTTTGAAGGAGTGTATATGTTTAGAATTTTAGGGAAAGTAGTTTGATGCTAGAAAGTTTGAGCATCCACAGATAGCAAGAATACAGTCCTAGTTTTTCCCTACCTACTTTCAGTTTAAATGGTCCAGAATTAGAAATGGAGGTTGGTGGTCCTGCTTTGTGGCAAGAGGGTTGGAGCTTTGATGATCCTTGAGGTTCCTTCCAACCCAAGCCATTCTCTGATTCTGTGAAGGGAAAAGAATCCCCTAAGCAAACAAGAAAAAAAAAAAACTGATTTGTGTAATTTGTCTCTGATGATCTGTCTCTTTGCTATTACAGTGTAATGAAAGGGAAAGGAAAGGGGGGAAAAAATGAAGAATCTGATTTGCATGAACTCTAATACCTTACAAAAAATCAAGTACATGTGGGACTGAATGTTTCTTAAAATTTGTGAAATAAGGCTATTTAATCCAGCAGCCTTAATGCTGAGATAGGAAAGGAAAAATCTTCCCCTTCAGTGAAGCTGTATTTACACATAGTATTAATGTCTGTGTTAGAGACAGAGGAAAAAAAAAAACACAAAAAAAACCAATAGTTGCAGGCTCTGGTAGGAAGTTGAAAAAATTCCTGGATACAATTTCAGCATTAGCTTAATCCTGTGTGAAAGGTGGAGCAAGTTTATTTTCTGACTGCTGTCTAATGGGATCCAAAATGAAAAGATAGAAGTGTTCCTACAGCTGGGAAAAAAAAAAAAAAAAAAAAAAGCCAGGTGTTTCTTCTGAATAATAAAAGAGATGAAAGTAACTTTCCTGTTATTGTTGTTTCAAACACAGAAATCTTGTTGCATGCAATCTTTACAGTAATTTCCTTCTGGCAGAGGAGAGTCAAGAGGATACATAAGTGTAACTTCTATTCTATTTGAGAAGATATCAAGTAATTGTTATAAACCATTTGTACCACTCTCAGACTATAAGCACTTTTATCCTACTGCTTGAACAGAAATCTTCCATCCTTTCGATTACATTCAGGAACCTTGTCACTGGTTTGAATTTTCTGATTTCTCAGGTTTGAATTTTCTGATTTCTTAGGTAGTATAATTTGTTTAGTTTTTTTTTTTTTTTTAATTGTTCCTAAATCATAGTGTTTCTGAAATTTCTGTTTTACATTTTGCAATATAATATATCCATTTACTCATTGCAAACTAATATGGGAAATTTCTTATATCCTTTTACCAGTTTAGGAACTCGTTGCTTGAATCTTTTGGGTTTCCAGCAGTTCATGGGGGACAGTGAAATGACCTCTGATTTGATTGATGAAGGAAAAGAGTTAATCCGAAGAGGTAATTTAGATCCCATATCCTAATCATCCTACAAAACACAGTAATTCTTCCATGTCTGGAGAAAAAAAAAAGACATAGCTTTTCAATTTTTGGACTGTATGATGGCGATCTACTGCCTAAAACACAGGTTGCTTAACAGTACAGGGTGGTATGTAAGTACTGTTGGACTTTTTCAACACCTGCAGTAAAATACCAACTTTACTCATTCAGTGTGGGTAATTTTACAGTTCAGTTAAGTGCTGGTACTCTGAAGTCATTACTATCTAACAGTATCTTAGTGGGGCTGAGATCCTGTTTAATATGTCATAAAAGATAGTTACTGCTTAAATTGTCGTTATCATCAACAACCTTATTTTAGTCTTTCTTTTTATAAGTGTGTTTAGCTAAGCTGTCCAAATTCCATCATTTCTTTAGGATTTTGTGCCAGGTCGAATAACTACTGTACATTATTACACTGAGCATGTATTCTATAGAACTTTAATTATCGTCTATTTGGGATAATTTATTAATTTTTTTGTTTTGTTAATTTTTTACTGAAAAAAGAGTTCTCATTTCAAGCTAACAGCTTGAAAGTAGATCTTGAGTAAAGGTTCAGAAACACAATTTTGGATGTAAGTTACATTATGCAATATTTTTATTCTCCTTTCATAGTTTATTAGAAACAAGATTTATTAGAAACTGGATTAGCTTAGAGTAGTATTGTTTTCTGGAGCAGGGGGAGTGTCATACATTCCCTTAAGCAACATGTTAGTCTTTCTTTGGTACTGTGATTTTTATAGGAGGGCTGCTCTGAAAGTAATGCCTCCTATTTTATTTTGTTGATCTATAATGTCAGAGGTGGATGTTGGTTTTATAGCAGTCAAGGTTGAGCCTTTCTGCCATTATTTCTGTTAAATGTTGTTGCCACGTGACAGATGGCAGCAGAGGGGCAGTCTGACTAAATGGCATCTGACATGGAAGTGCAAATGAAGCAAAGGTGCGTTATTAAATTCCTCCATGTGGAAAAATGGCACTCATTGGCATTCACTGATGCTTGCTGAATGTTTAAGGAGACCAAACAGTGGATGTGAGCACGTGAGTGGTGCATTTCAGCACTGATGACAGCTGTTGTCAACATGATAAATTGATTTTAATGAGAAATTCCATTACAATCAACTTCATGTTTCCTTCTTAATTAATTGTATTAACCATCTATTTCTGTAAGAATCTCAGTAGTTAATGTTATTTTTTTCATTGCATTTGTTTAAGAAAAACCTGTTAGTAGTGATTGTTCTTGTATTTAGCTACAGACTTTTTTTTTTTATTTCTAGAGAAAAGAAAACGGCAAAGGCAGGAAGAAGGTGAAAACAGAAGAAGGGTAAAATATTTATTTTATGTAATCTGAATGTAAATATAATAAAAAATCTGCTAGTGATGGCCATTGTTATTTAATTCAGCCTAACTTTTTTTACTTTTTTTTTTATCTCTGCTATCACAGATGGAAACAGTTTTGTCTTGTAGAATAGTCCTGGCTGAGGGAAAAAGATAATTTATATTTTATTTTTAAAAGATAAGAGGGGTCATTGTGGTCATACTACTTGTACCCTCTTGTTACTCACTCTATTCTTAGAATTGCTTATTGCTGCAAACATAGGTCAAGATAACCAGTCCTGACCTATAAGATTCAGAACAATCTGGAATAGTTTGTTCTCAGTCTCTTCTGTTGATGCTGATCTGCATGAAATAACTACAGAGTTGCAGTGTTGGAATGTTCTCTTGGGATTGGGACTGTGTGCTCTTCCCAGACTTACCCTGTTGCTTTGTGTAGTCATTGCTAGTAATTGGCAAAGATTAATTTTTTCCTTCTGAAAGGGAAAAACATTTAATGTAGTTCCCTTCTTGAAGGAAAATGAGCAGGAAGGAATGAGTACTGTTGACACTTTGTAACAAATTGAATCTTTGTTTCAAATCATTTTTGAAACATCATTCAGAGAGTTTTGCTCAAGCAAATTCAGTTAATTGTAGCTTTTGTTTTGGATAAATAACACTTTGAATTCAGTGTAGAAAGAAACAAAGATATCTAAGGAAAACATGTGAAAAATATACTGACTAAAGGGGAAAGTATTATTTGCAGAAAGCCAGGACAATACTGGGTCTAAAACCTCTGGATTTTTCAAGCTCAGGGATACTTGCCTTCAATTCTTGTTAGCAGCTTGTACTGCAACGACCTTTCTTTTGATGCTCTGCTCTGCACCCTCCATCCCATGGTTTAAAGCTTTCCCTTATTACAAAACCAATTACTAGTCAGGGCATTATACCTTTATTACACACTGAAATGAATTGACATAAATCAGCAACTTTTGTTTCAATAGAAAACTCATTTTATATTTTTTTGAAATAGAAAAAAATATGAATATGAAAAAACCTGTTTTTTGAGTATGCATTTTACTGTAGCACATATATTCTTGAAACTTTTGGAGGATATAAGAGTATTCTTTTGTTAGATCATGATAAATACTTTATATCTTGAACTGTAAGATCTGTTGGCATAAATCAGCACAGTAACTTTTGAGTATATCAAGGATCCATATATGAATCTGATCAATATGGAAGTTACAGACGCAGTTGGAAAGGTTTCTACCATGTCATGAACTTGTGTCCTAAAAAGAGAAGGTTTTCTTCTTTAATACTTTATAATTTTTCATATTAAAACTATTAAATGCTTAAAGGTTATGTGATAGAAGTATAACAATAACTGCATTTTTCTTTTTTGTCTGGATATTCTACCATTCTGCCACTAGATGGAAATATAAACCAAATAATGAGCATTTGTGTTCTCACTGTAACAGTTGAAGAACTTTGTAGATTTAATATGTGGTTTGGTTCCTCTATTTTTCTTCTAAAGAGCAGTTACTGAAATTGGTTTTGTGAAGGTACATAAACACTGAGTTAAAAACAAAACAAGGACTCCTTTTATATCAAGATATCAAGCAGTACCATTTTCAAAGTATTTTCTTTCACTGTGTGGCAAGGTTGACCAGTTAGTTCTAGACTGCAGTATGTCTTGATCCTGTGTATGCTTTAGTTGTCTTACTTTCCTGACAGTTCATGTTTTTATTTTTTGTCTTTTTCCAGGAATGGAAAGAACGGTATGGAAATAGAGAGGATTCCACTAGAAACAGGGTTGTCCACACAGAGCAAAAAGAATCCAGTTTCTCAGAGACCAATACTAATAGAAGTAAGTTTTGTGGCTTTTTTTTTTTTGTGTTGAGTGTGGAAATTTTTTCTTTGCTTGCTTTTAGGTTTTTAATATCCTGTCTGTGCAATACTGACTGTAAGTAAAAGTAAATAGTTTCCTTTTTGTCTCAGATCATATATTGATTCATTTCCTTCTTTAGGAGGGAAATAGTGTTATCTTGACCATTAAAGACAAGTGCCATGTTTCTTCTCATCTTTTACATTGTGACTAGTTGAGGCTGGAGATTCTGGCTAGTCTAAATTACTTGATTTTCTCATGGGACGTAGAACTAGAGTAGCAGTTGTTAACAAAAAAAACCCTATATTTAAGGTATACCTTGCAGTTGGAAATTTTAAATATTGAAATGTACCTCTTCTACATGAAAATGAACTGATTTGGGTTGGAGTAATGACTTATAAAGCCAGAACATACGTGAGTGCATGCATGTCATTAAATGACACGTTAAACTAGCCAATTTAGATTGTTACACGTGCAGTAGTATTTGCATGTAGAAGAATAATAATGTTGAGTTGAAAATGTTTAAAAGTAAACAGACCTTTCATTGTCCACTGAATTTTTTGTCCTTTTGCTAACTTTTAGTGTGTATTTCATGTACTCTTGTAAGCTAACAACAGGTGAGAAATGAAACTAAACAGCTAAATGTGACAGGTTGAATGAAGTGATGGAAAACTGATTAAAGTTTAGAAAATAAAAAGGAGAAGATTCAAGGCAAGTGCTTTCAATAAAAAATAAAGTAGGTCTTCCTCCCACTCTTTTTAACAGTAGGAAACCAAAGTCTTCAGATATAGACTAACTGAAATTGTATTCAATTATATTCCGCTGTTAACTAGGCCCAAAACAAGCTGTAGACATTGGCCTACTGAAACTGGCAGTGAATTGCCAAACAGCTGTATTTCATTCATTCGTGAGTTTTTCCATTTCAAAACAAACAGAAGAAGAACTTAAAAATTTCCAGCTAAATTTTGCATATAGCATTTTTGTCTGTCTTGGTTAAAAATGGCAAGCTGGGAAGAATGGATGCTTCATTTATTTATTTGTAAATAATGTTTCTGTATAACTTTTAATTTTCTTTGGTTCTTTGCAAAATGGATCTCATCTACATCTCATCTACCAGGCCCTGGTTAGCCTGGTCTAGCATTAAATGAGGAGGTTGGTGGCCCTGCATGTGGCAGGGGGGTTGGAGATTCATGATCCTTGAGATCTCTTCCAACCCTGGTCATTCTGTGATTCTGTGATACTTGTTGCAGTTATGTTGTTCTGCAAGTAAACAAGAACAAAAAATCTAAAAAGACCCAAACTTTGAGCATATAGCCAGATTTGATTTAATACTGAATTTACTGTAAATATTCATGATTATGCTTTAGATGAGTTACTAGCAAATTATTATACTGTCTTTCAAGTTTGATATTTTCACACAATGGGAGGTGTTTATAGAACTAAATGGATCTCATTTCTGCTTTTCACCTATTTAGCACTATCAAAGTACACTCGAACAAATGGTAGGACTGAAAGAGACAGAATAGAACTTCTTCAGGATGCAGAGCCTTTGGATTTTAATGCAGACTCAATTAATGATGACCCTCTTGAATCAGACTCGGGAAGGTGAGGAATCCTCTGTTGTACTTACAATTTAAAAATTTTAATAGCTTCTATCTCCTGACCTGTAACAGCTATGTCAGATGATTTTGTAATAATACCTTTATAAACAGTATTTGCTTCTCACATAGCTATTTTTCTTTCTTCCTTCTCTCTAATGATATTGAAAGTGTTTTCAACCCAATTGAAACCACTGGGTTTTGTCAGTTTTTATAGAAATGTCTGAGTAAGGTTTGAGATGACCATAACTTTGTGTGTTAGCATAATCTGGAAACTATTGCATGTAAACACAGTAGTGAAAGAACAGAATAATGACTTACATATGCTCAGTATAAGTATTTTATTTTTCTCAATTTCCTACAAGACTTCAGAGAGCTTATTATTCCTTGTATGAACACAGTCATTAAAGATTGAAGGAAATGAAACTGAGTATTATAGGACCATTAGTTGCAGGAGTGTAGCTGGGCATCAGATCTTGAGACTAATAAAGTAAATGCAAATCTGAACCTATTGGGCAAAGTCTTAGGCTGGTGTGTTTGCAATATGCAATCATGAAGTAGGATATATTATTAGCTGCTAAGTTCTGCTTGAATTCAGGAAAGAAGTAACTTGTTTAATGGTGCTTTTTTAATCTAGACAGCTATGTATTAGAACCTTGTTATGACAAATTGTTTAAAACTTCTCTACAAAAAGTTATAATTTGTATGTTGTTTTTCAGTTTAAATTAGCATATCAAATCCATCTGAAATTGTTTATGTTGACTTCTGTCTGTAACTTCAGCAAATAGATGCCAGTTAATAAACATGTAAAGCATGTTTTTAACTGATGATGGCAAGTTCTACAGCTTAATTCAGCAATACTTGTTAAAACTGACAACTAAATTGTCTAATGTCACCACATTTGGAAAAGTTTTGGCTTCTGGAGTTTTTTTGTTTTGGGTTTCTTTTTAGCACAAAGTTTAAATAGGAAGCAGCCTAGTGTATTTCTGTTTTCTACTTCTATACAGTGTTTGAAATACATAACAGTCTACAAAAATTGAAGTAGGCATATATAGTTGTTATGGAGCAGATATGATATCTGAAGTCTTCATTCATAGGTCTTTCTTCTTTTTGCTGTGATATCTTTTCATATTTAAAATTCATTCTGCAGGTACCAGCCTGGTGGAAGATATCTGTCAATGTCTCGAAGCAGAATATTTGAGGATGTCTAATCTAAATCTAAAGAAAAATCATTGGCAATCTATTTCCTATTCACTGCTTGGAAAACATTGTATTTATGATTATTGCTGAATCAGAAAATACCATTTTTGTTTTATTAAAAAAAAATGAAGAAACAACTGTATTTTGGAAATGTATCTGTATGGTAACTCTACCAGTTATGACAAGAATATTCTTCTTCTATTTTAGATATTATTGAGCATCCATATGAGCTTTTTCTAATGACCAAAAAGAGAGAAATAATAATTAAATTAGTAGAGAATAAATTTCATTAAAAAGGCTCAACTTGAATTACAATATTAAGCTTCAGAATGAACATTTTCTGGAAGGGTTTTTTTTGTATAGAAAAAGATGCTATGAGAAAATCTTGATGCATTCAAAGTGCAGTTATATCAATTACAATAGTGAACACTTACTAAATTTTCTGTTTAAACATTTATGATGAGTCCAAAATTTACAGATTTAAATTAGTTTTCTTTTGGCTTTGATGGTCTTTAGATCAGACCCTAAATAAGCAGAGGGACTGAATGGCAGTCTGTTTTCATAAATCATGCTGGCATTAGTTTTAGAACAAAATGTATTTGTCAAGAAAGATAATATTTTCTTTTCCAGTGTTCAAGGCTAGGCTGGATAGGGCCCTGAGCAAGTGAGTTGCAGCTGTCTGAGCAGGGTGTTGGATTGTCTTTATGGTCCAACCCAAGCCATTCTAGGATTCTGTGTGTGTTTAGATGAATATGGATGAAGGTTTTGCTGTCATGTGATCATATGTGCAATAGCAAGAAATGTTATCAAAGGCATGATGTTTGCTTAAGATTTTTACAGTTCTTACTGTTGAAACATATTGGCACACTAATGTTCTGGGTTCTTTTTTTTTTTTTTTTTTTTTAAAAAAGCATAAAAGAAATCTGAAGTGAATGATGAGTTGAATTCAGAAAAAATTTATTTCCATAGACTTCAGACCCAGCTTAAAATTTTTGAGTGTTTCTTTAGAAGGGAAATACATAGCATAACTAGATAATGATGAACACTTTTAATATCCCAAAAGCCCTGTTTGCATTATGTATCAGTTCTTAAGGTGCCTGTATTTTGCAGTAAATTGTTGCAAAAAGAATAAATGCATATTCATTTAAATGCCATTCAAAAATGCCAATTATTAACTATGTAAAAGTGCTTCTATTTAATTTAATAGGTGTAGACACATTTTAAGCTATAGTTAGTCAAATGAACTTTCAAGTGTGATCATATGGTAAAATCATGAGCATACTCATGATATCTTGGGAAATATGATTAACTTAAAATGCTGCTTTGTGGGAATTTGTCATATATCCTTGCACTTGGGAGTTTTCTTTTGACCTTATTTCTAAATTATGATGAAAATGGAAAGAGAACATGCTTCCATCATAAATTTTTTATCACACTTAAAAAGATAGGCATCCATTAAAGCAACTGAGACTGAGATTGTCTGAAAAGTAAACTTTCATGAACTACATGTTCTACTAATATTTAGAAGTAGTCTTTTTCTGAAGTAACTATTAATGGGGATCTAACTCTACCTCCTGCGATTTAGTATATTATATGTTCTAGCAGTAGTGGTATTTATAATGTACTGATCTGCCTGTTTTAAAACACTGTATTTCTGTTATGAAGGAGGAAAAATACTTGTGTAGAAATGATTATGTAAATAAAAGGGCAGACATAAAGTAACCCTCAGTTCTGAGGTGAATACACTGAATTACAGCCATGCTCAAATATACCCAAGCTCATGTAATTTCTACGTTGCATGTAAGAGGACACTTTTTAGTTTGAGTATTTTATGTCTTATAAAAGCTTGATCAGCATGATACAGCATAGCTGTATCAGGGAATGAAAGTCAAGAAAATAAGACACTTGTTTTTGGATGCAGACTGTTCTATAGCAACTTTGTGATGTTACATATTTAATTTTTATTAGATACACTTAGAAATGCTATTATTGATCCAGCCTGATCTGAAAGAGGTTGTATATGTTTTTGGACATCCATCAACAATTAACGTTTCTAGACTTTATATTTCTATTTTTGTAGTTTATATGTTTAATTGTAATTTGTATTTGTAAAAATACATGGATGAAATAAGGTGTAAGTTCTTTATTTAACTCCTGAAATGTCACTACAAAGGGATCTTATTCAGTGCTAATGGAAAAATCATAAAAGAAATGTTTATTTTTCAGAGCTCTTATGAAATACTCCTATCTAGCTGTTGTTGACTTCAGAGTATTGAATCAGCTTCTCAGCGCATGATTTTTCTGCACTCATAGAAGCATAGAATCATAAAATTGCTCAGGTTGGAAAAGACCTTAAAGATCATTGAGTCCAACCACGACCTAACCATACTACCCTAACAAACAACCCTCCGCTAAATCATGTCCCTGAGCACCACATACAAATGGTTTTTAAGCACATCCAGGGATGGTGACTCAACCACCTCCCTGGGGAGCCTATTCCAGTGCTTAACAACACTTTCTGTAAAGTTGTTTTTCCTGATACCCAACCTAAACCGCCCCTGGCACAATTTGAGGCCATTTCACCTCGCCCTGTCACCAGTGAGGAGAAACCAGCTCAGCTCTCGCTGTAAGCACCTTTCAGGTATTTGAAGAGAGCAATAAAGTCTCTCCTCAGCCTCCTTTTTCCCAGATTAAACAGCCCCACTTCCTTCAGTCATTCAGACATCTGTGGAATGGTTGCTAACATTTACAATTTACAATTGAAACTTCTTGAGGGTTTTATATACGAAAGCTAACTAATCCGTGACATAAGACATCTGTGTGGTTTTCCTCAGGATACAGTAATGTGAGGAGTTTACTGTAAATTAATTGCTGTGGGAATCCATCTACTAATATTGAAATTATGAGGTCATTTAGATGGGAACCTTCTGACATTTTATCATATGTTGCAGTGGAGTAGTAGAGTAACTAATGGCTGCTTTTTGAAACCACAGACATGAAGGCTTCTCAAATAGCTCAACAGCTCTCTCTGGATAGTGCTTAGAGATCCCCAGTGTCACATACCAGCTGGATACTAAAGGTTTAAATAAGGAGATGATAAGTGATGTCATCCGTTTAATGTTTCATCCATGTATTCTTTTGTGACTAACAGTTATTACTCTTGCTTTAAGTGCAATTTGTAGCTAATTATTGTTTCAAAAAGTAATTGTAAGTTCCTATGACTAAATATGAAAAACTTTTAACTAAAGATGACTGGTTACAATAAAAGAACATTACAGAACCAAACTATATACCTGCACAACATTTGCTGTGTACTTGAGCTCATTGCAGAGTACTTCGGTTACTGCTTATAAAAATAATGCAGAACTTGCCTGGGGGTTAAGTAAGTGCCTGACGATTTACCCTAACTCCTAGCTAGACTGTGGCATCTGTGCTGAGTTCTTTGCTACTGTAATTATACCCTAAAAATAGCCTATATTAAAAGAAATATAAGTAAATGAACTAAAACCAGCTTTGGCATGTTTAAGCAGTGATTGTAACATATGTTAATGTTTTTCTTGCAGCACATTTGATGCTCTGGCTTAGATAATTTGAAGTAAAACTACCTTGCAAAGTGTGCTTTAGGAAATAGAAATGTTAATTTATTAATTCTGTTGTTATGTAGTCATGTTTATTTGCAACTAATGAATGTCAATTATATCTTTATTTACAATTCCACTTTTTGAATTACCAAGCAGCTAATGTATACTTCTTATGCTGTGAACACCACTTACATGTAGAAATGGCACCAAGCAACCACCCATGCTTGTAAACCAATGGAAAGAATCCATGTAAATTGTCACAAACTTTACAGAACGGGATTGAAAGCAGTAACACTCTGTCAGTGCTGGATTTCTTAAAAAGTACAGATAGCAAAAAGCTCTAGTCTAGTCTTACTGTTCCTGCTAGAACTGTAGTTCTGTGTTTTCAGGCATTTAAGCATGTACATGTTCTGCTAAGTTACATATACTGGGAAATGAGCTCTCTCTGCATGTTAAGGCACAGCACTTAGTGATGTAAAGTCAGGAATGCTTTTTATGAGGGAATATAAAAAAACCTGAGCTTCTAGTCTGTGTTAGCAAGTAACAATTTGGGCATAATATGGTATATTCTATCATTTGGGTACGACAACAAACTTTATACTACTGCAACTTACACTACTGGGAAAATCACAGTATATAATATGTCTTTGCTTTGCAATCAAGCACTTGTAAAATAAATCATCATTAGCAGTATTAAAGGGAATGGTGGAAAGCTGCTATCTGTTCAATATTTATTCTTACTATTTTAAAACAATCATGATGGTTTTTAGATATTAAATATTACCAATGGTTACTCTGATTTTCAGTAATGATGATAATTCTCATTTTACTAAATTTATCTCAGAATATTGTCAATGTTTAATGAAAAATACATTATTTCTTCTGAATTTCATTATTGCTGTTAATTACTTGCAGTTTGAGGGGATTTACAGTACCAAATAGAGATCATTTTATGAACGGAAACTTTCTGTGAGGCTTCTTAAGGACATCTGCCTATTCATAACAGAGAATTGTTTCCATGTTTATAATTAGAAGAAATGCCACTCATTGCATATATTGTCTCCTAGCTTTTAATTTTTGTTTTAGCATTCAGAAAATGATGGTTTTTTTTTTTTTTTTTTTTTTTAACAGAGCAACTTACTGGTGTATCTTGTAAATGTTTTGAAATTTTTACATTCCTTTTCCCTAATGAACTCTGCAGGAATATGCTGCTTCACAGCAGTTCTTTTGATATTATCTGTGCCTCTAATTAAGTAGTCTAATCTGAAGCTGAGACACTCCTACACCATTTGATTATGTTGACAGAAACACAGCATCCCTAGCAGAATAGCACCTTGAACTAGATCCCTTTCTAGTATATGGATTGCTGTCATTGATAATATTGCATTATATTTGGTATCTTCTGTTTCAGTTGTATGGTAATGCCAATCACATACATTCTTTGTCTCCATTAAAATGCACTGGAATGTATTCCTCAGCATGCTTACTTTTGTGTGCGTGTGTTTTAGCTGTAATTGAGAGGCAATAATAATATGCAACTTCAATTATTTCTTCAGGATAGTGTTGTTATATTTGACATTCCTGTGAATTATAGTCGTTCAAGTGTTATATCTTAACTGTCACTGTAGGAATTATTTTCTTTAAGAGATCACGTTAAATTTCTATGGACGTGTCTGGAATCATTTTCAAGTATGGCTGTAGTAACAGAAGATGTTTATTCTCCAATGTATATCAAGGGTAGGCTGTAGGAGTGCTGCTCATGGATAGACTAGCTTCTCTTGCCTTATGATACGTGTGCATAAAACGTTGTTTTAAAATTCACTGAGTTATAAATTTTCCTGTGTAGTATTTAAATTATTGATGTACTAGATATATTTTTGAAATGTATGTTAAAATACCTAGTCAATGACTTATGTTGGCATGAAATAAATCATTTCTGCAATACATTTTTTTTCTTGGTGTATTTTAGATACTCAGACTTCTCTGAAATGTTTTTGATAATGATCTTTCAGAGAAATTCTACCTATTTCTTCTTTCCACATAGAGAGCTTATTCTGTGAGACAATACAACCACATTTTGGTCACCTTTTTTACATCTTTAAAGCAGATTAGAAAGGGAAGTTGCTCAGAAGCCTGCATGCCTTGACATATCATTGTCAGAGCCCAGAGCTGAGGCATGGACCAGCACTTTCAGTCCGGTCCCTTTACTGACAGCTCACTCATGCTTCTGTGGCTGCAGGGAGACTGTAAGCTTCCCACAGTGCGTATAGAAATGCTGCAAAGAGCCTATATGTTCCTGAAGCTGATTGGGCCCTTGGTACTTTGGG